GGAGTTGCAGTTCAAAGGTGTCGATGTAAGAGCCACGAGACCGCAGTACTGGAAAAAGAATCAGCGCCATCTAGTATTACACTTAAGAACCTTTTAATTATTTTTTTTTTATAAAAACATTGTAGCTTTAATTAGAAAACAAATACGTGGAAGTTATTTTTTAATTATTGAAATATGCATAACTGATTTATTTTCCTTTATAACCGTGTTTTAATTAATTATTACCTGAATAGCAGCTAGTAAAATCCCAGCAGCAATTGCTACACTAATTTCACTATAATAATGCATCCGTTTCCTCCCGTCTTCTCTCCAGGAGTGAGTCTGTCGGAAGACTAAGATTAGAGCTGGTGCATCACTCAAATATGGCTTTGTGGCGTTAGTGGCGAAGGGTTTGAGATCCGTCACCCATTGTCTGGACATCCTCTTGGAGTAATTTAAATCTTCCTCTTCTTCTACAATACTTCTGATTGCTGATTTCGTTTGCTGGTCTTGGACTACTATGAAGGTCCAGGGTTCGGTGTGTGCTCCAGATGGTGAGGTGCCTGGAAATAAAGTAATTATGCTTCAAAAAATGTACATTTAAATTACTGTTACCTGCTTTTTGTTTGAATCACTTAATTATAATGAGAAAATTCTTACATTATCTCATTTTCAATTGTTTGAAGTTATTAACTTTGAATAGATTTAAATTTTAATCGTTATAAAACCACTCGTGAGTTCAATTTTGACGTATTGCATAATATAGAATGTCATGGAACGTTAATTTTCTACAGAATTCTAAGTAAAATATAATTCTTGTACGTATACATTATTTTGGTAAATAAAACTATTATGCGGCAACAAAATCACAAAAAGGTTTTCAGGGGACACCCGGGTTTGAACCGGGGACCTCTCGATCTGCAGTCGAATGCTCTACCACTGAGCTATATCCCCTTGAAGCGAACTACGAAAATTTTCATAATATTCATGAGAAAACGTTGATAAAAATCTCAAGTAGGTCATTAACTTCAGATAAAAGGGGTTAATAAACTTTAAGCATTCATTATTCAAAACGAAATCACTACTAAATAATATAAAACTACGTATCATAAAAAAAACCGATTTTTCAAACTATATTAAAGCCAAATTAATGTTTTTTAATTGTTACCTGCAGTTTTTACGATATTGTCCAGTACTTCTTGTGGGATAGGTTCATTACTAAAGCTTCTAACAGTTCTTCTCTTCGCCATCAGTTCGTAATACTCGCGGGACCTCTGTAGGACCACGTCATCGGACCACTTCAGCGGTCTGTAGGGGATGTGAGGGGTGTCCTCTGAGATAGCGGGTACTAAGAGGTCCGGGTCATCTTCGTCATTAGGATAATCCCTCTCTGAAACGAGATTTAAGTATCAATTACTTTGAAAACTACGTTTTATGTCGTTAATATCTATACTATTTGGTCGATATATAGACTTTTTTGTATTTGTCGTTGTACTATTTGTAATCTAATTCCATTTTTAAGCAGTAATTTATATATTTTAATGATAAACACGTGTTTTACTTTACAATACAATGTTATCTTATTTGGCTAGATACAGTTACAAATGAGCGCATCTTATCTCTAACAAACATTCATCCATCTAAACTTTCGTATTTACAATGTTAGTATGATCGAGAACAAATTAGTTAGCCTAAGTAGTTTTGTGAGCGTCTCTCACGCACACCAATTTACTACGAATGTGAGCAAAAACAAATAATGTTCACTTGTTATTCAATGTTTTTATATCGTAGAAAAACAATTACGAAATTTTTCACGTAACAATGTTTTATGCTTATAAAATTATAATAATATTATCTGCTAAATTCACAGTTAAATGTGATTTTAATTTTTGTATAATGAAATCCTTATTTTTGAACAGTTACATAAAATATCAAATTGAGATAACCGTGGGTATCCACGGCTTTCCTTTTCAGAAGTTTTTTAAGGTGAGTTAACAATGCTTTCGTACAGTTATTTGGCTGTTAAAGTAATATATGTTCTATTAAAATATGTTTTTGTTATATATCTTACTAGCTTTCGTCCGCGACTCTGTCCGCGTGTAATTAAAAAACACAAAAGTTAGACTATATGTTCTTCCAGGCTATACTCTACATCTGTACCAAATTTCATCGAAATCCGTTCAGCAGTTTAGGCTACAAACTCAAACAAACATCCATCTAAACTTTCGCATTTATAATGTTAGTATGATCAAGGGCGGATCATGCTTTGGCGCCAGGAGGTGTCATGGTCAAGTCAAGAGCTTGACAAAATATATTTACATATTTTGTCCAATGGGGCCCCCCCTGACCCCCCTCTAGATCCGCCGTTGATTATGATTAATATGATAAACGAACGTTAATCCCATTTTACCGTACTTTTTGTCAAATGGTTATTGTAACATGCGTTGGCTGCGAAATGTGATATTAACCAATAATAATTACGAAAGCAGTGTGATGAAACACAAACACTCTGACGTACATATCAATAGGCGATGGTCAGAGTTAACACATGTATAACTAAAGTGCTTAACTAATTTTTTTTGGTATAACCGATAATGTATTCAAATGTGTCAATGTGTACTAATCAATGTTTTCGCACTCCAGTTTTATATTTACAATCTTATCTTAGTTCGTATATTATGAACTAGCATCCTCCCGCGACTCCGTCCGCGTGGAATTAAAAAAAAAGTTTAAAAAGAAAGTTTAGAAGGATGGATGTTAGAATTTGTTGCCTAAACTGGTGAACGGATCTTGAAATTTGGAATATATGTAGAACATAGTTTGAAAGAACCTATGTGAGGTTACTTACTATAGTTTTTTAACTACATACGGAGTCGAAGGGCAAAGCTAATTAAAAAAGTACACTAGAAAACTCAATGCAATTTTAATTTTTGTAAAGTCGAATAGAGATAATTGTTATTCTCTAATATATTTAAGTATATACTGTTAATAATAAAATTAGTACCGTCTATAGAATTGGCACAACTCTAAATTATCGGCATAAACGTCACGTCCCTAGCTGACAGCTGTCAATGTCACTAGAAGTATGGATAGATTGGCGCGCAACTTGAGTCTTGACGAGAAGTATTGCTCTGAGATAAAAGCGACAGTATCAATTAAATAAGTTGTCTAATAATACGAACTTTGACCTTTGCTATTCCGTCTAACCGATACATTATCTTTACACTGAATCAAATGAAGCAATAGTATCATAAACTGCATTGTTAAGAAAATTAAAATCTTACTAATATTAGAAATGCGAAAGTATAGATGGATGTTTACTAGAGTTTGTAGCCTAAACGGCTGAACAGATCTCGACGAAATTTGGCACAGACGTAGAGGATAGTCTGAAAGAACACTGAGGCTTTTGGTTTTTTCAATTCCACTGATGGAGTCGCGGGCGAAAGCTAGTATTTTAAATAAAACGTAAACATAAACGGGTGCTTCCTGTTGGGCTCATTGAACCAATGGGAAAAATTCCAATGAGTCTCGATAGTGTGTAGCGACCAGCCTAATGGGAAACAGCCTAATTGACCATAAGGGTTACTTATTAGAGATTGGGAAAACTACTCAAATATCCAGCTATCGTAAATCAGAGATTAGATAGTTCTGTATCGCATCATCGCATTTTAGTTATTTCGGATTTATAATAGACTAATAAAAACAAACAAAAATTGGTACATTGAATCCGGGTTATAACTAAAAATCTTGTAAACTAAGAGTGCTAGTTTAATGAAATGAACGGTTTAACACGTTCACTGCGTAACAGACATATAAGGCCTGATGCAGTACTTATGGTGCAGTACTTATGGGCTGGTGCGGACGAAGAAAACTATGTCCCTCTCGCTAGTGCGAAACGATTATTTTAGGTGTATACATTACATTGCATAAAATGTAAACATTATGTTTCCACAATTATTATAGCTATTTAATCTATTCTAGTTCTGGTGGGTCTAAAAAGACCTGCCAAGCACTGACGGAAATACCGTTGGGGGTGCATTTTGGCCCGCCACCGCGCCATATGAAGAATTATGATTTTACTTGCCGCGGTAAACGTGTTAACAACTATGAGTGCGGCAGTAAGAGTGCTGCAATAATATAGAATAATATTTCGCTTCTCACTCTAATAACCCATTTTTGATAACCTCTGAAACTATCAAAACATGAACACTGCATGCGCAACACGAAAGTGTCGAGTGACTTTAGCTAGTTAAAATTATAATCAACAAGCTGTTGCTCGCGACTTCGCCCGCGTGAAATGAAAAAGAAAATATAGCCTATGTTACTCACAGATAAATTACCTTTCTAATGGCGAAGGAATTTTTAAAATCGACCCAGTAGTTTTTTTCGGTTTATAATATTAGTATAGATTATTCATCTATGAAATAAATACATTCGAGAAAGCACAACATAAATATAAAGATAATAGGATAGAATAGGAAAATATTGTTTTTTAAACATCCTCTCTGCGATCTTTGCATTGCAGATGTCTTTCGACACATGGGCTATGGGTTGTTAGGCATTTGAAAAGCATGCCCAAACGCCAAACCAATCATATAACCTGAGTAAGTGTGAACGTTGCTACAAAATACTATCGAAGTTTTGTCCCTGTTTCTCTCAAAGGGTGTGAGAGGGACAATATTTATTAAACAGCACTTATAAAGTGTTATAATCCAGTAAGTCAGCTTTCCAGTAATTGGATATCCGCGGCCTCATTACACTAACGCACAATAATGTTTCTATTTATAAAATAACTAACGTATAGTTCTTCCTGATTATGTGAAACCGATAGTTCACAGTGTTTATCGTTTATGCATGCTTTTTACATGCATAAAAAAATCGTACTAATTTTGTTTAGCTTTTATGTCACTTCTATTGTGTTGAAGTTATTTTTTTAATAAATCGGAGGCCCAGTTTTAGTCCCTTTTCCCTTTCTACCTTTTGATTGACTGTAGTGGACATACATAGAATGGGAAATATTCCCTTTCTATGCATCCCCGCCGTCATATAAGGCCATATCTGCTTTTGGATGAATGTTCAGATGTCTATGGGCAGCAATCGCTTCACTATATCAGCGAATTTAGGTGGCCGCAAGCTTCAATCAAGACCATATTAGTGGCGGTTGTCATCCTAGACCTAGACTAGGTCAGCGGCTAGCGACGCTTATGTATTTGACATTATTTTATACAAATAGTAATATTTTATGTAATGTAAATACTATAGTTGTTTCTGTGAAGACTCTTAAGGAAAGTATTTCCAAAGGACGCAATTCGTCCTCACACGTGATCGGACTATAATAAACAATCTTGACACTTACCGAAAGTGTAAGGTCGGTTAAGAAAAATTTAACTTTTAAAGATTCGCATTTCGTATCGATTTGTTTTAAATCCAAGGTCAAATATTTTATTTGAAATTCGAAAAATTGTTTTGTCTAAATATATTCTGGAATTGTGAATTTGAAAATAAGGAATATTTAATGATAATATTTCTGGAATTAATAATGAAATTTTACTCTAGACCTCTTATATTTAGGTAACGTTGAATGTACTAGTCAATAAAATTAAAATTATCCTTAAATAAAATTGTATAATTCACTGTTCAAAAATACTTTTATCTCTGATTTTTACGTTGAGAGAAGGTTGGTAGGGATATATTTTTTGCCTTAGCTTGACATTTTTTTATTAAAGTAGTGCTTTACCGTGATTCCACCTGATGTAATTTATGTAGTATGATGGTACGAATATGAAAATATAATGACAATGTAAACGCACTATTACAACAATGTATACGTCCAGTGAAACTGAATGCGGTCGTTATTCTGTTATATATATTAAACAGGTCGTGGGTGGCAATGATCAAGATTATTTGGCACGCTAACATTAGGACTGGCACAGATGTAGTTTCTGTTTTATTAATGTACGTTTATTGACTTTAAATTTCAGACATAACTGGCTGGACATAAAATGCAATGTTGAATAAAAAAAGTATTTCGTCCTATGTCCTTAGAGGGTCTCACAAGATACCTGTACTAATATTATAAAGAGGAAATATTTGCATTTTTGTATGTATTGGAATAACTCAAAAACTACTGGGCCGATTTTAAAATTTCTTTCACTGTTAGAAAGGTAATTTGTTTGTGAGTAATATAGGCTATTTTTAGTTCCACGCGGACGAAGTTGCGAACAACAGGTAGTAATTTAAAAACAAGTAAGAGATGGAATTTTATTCATCAGATCGCATTAATTTTTTTAATTTTTCTGAAACCAATAAGATCTTTATACGTTTGTACCACATGCCTAGATATTTACGCTATATATGGCATTGTATACCAGTATAACCAGACTGGATTCACATCTGGCGGCCATGTCTATTTTAATGCACTGTTTTAAGCACTGTGGAATGACCACTTCTAGTATTTTAAACATGAACCGTGGGTTTTCATTGTCATGATGCTTACAAAACATATTGACTCTGTTTTTCCGAAGAGAATGATTTTTCCCATTGGGCTGTTCGATTCTATGCAGTCCAATAAGAAAAAAGTGGGAAAAGTCCCAATAATCAATCAGAACTCCACATTTACTTTTGCACTTCGATCGATGTGTGTTTGTAAGCACATGTTCAGGGGCAATCAAGTTAACATCAAAGGTCATCGTTAGACAAATATTTAATTAATCCTTCTTTATGTTTTGTAACAGTGACTTCGCAATAAAATACATTCACATAAAAACTCTGTTTGTACAGAATTAATCATAACATGTTTTATGAGAACGTTTCGACAGTGAGAACCGACAACATTCAACCCGGTAAGTCAAGGTAGGTACAATCGTGGAATTCCGCGATGTTCAAGTTACAAAGTTGCCTTATGCTTACGATATAAACTCCGCATATAATTACAAATAACTAATTAGGTAGCTCTATGTTGCGCATTCTACGGGAATATAGTGAAAAGCTGTTAGTTATTGTACATTCAAACAAGTCTAGCATTTAAAACACCGCCAATTTCTTTGATTGTACATGATAAAAATGACACAAGATCCAGACACACATCCGTCCTCGGTACGGCAAGTTAAGATAACACTGTCGTAGTTGACTAAATTTCACGTGAGAATAAAAATATATTTCAGTTTTGTGACATAAATTTACTCTTAAGGCACTGTTGTTTCTGGACACTGCTAGATGGAGTTATATTATTACCTGAACCTGACGTGCATGCCTGTAGATACATGAATCTAAGAAAGACATGTGTGGCATGATCACGTTAAATGAAGACCAGTGGTCTCTGCCTACCTCACTCAGCGATCCCGCCCCTATGTTGTAACTAAAAGTATTCAGCAGTTTTGTAACGTCTTGTATTCTTTGCACTTGTTTTATTTCTACAGAAATATTTGTTATACGTAATTCTCTGCTATCATAGTAATTACATTAATAAAAATGAGTTATCGACGCAAATAGCTAGGCATTATTTGCTTTTGTATTTAAAGTTTGTGATTACGTATTGATTGACGAAAAACATTTAGTATATAACACAATGGTAAAGTAAACTTGATAGGTTGTAATTAATTTCTAACCTCTTCCACCGCCGGTTGGCGCGAATTTTTTTTTAGCTGCAGTCCTGCTGTAATGCGCTTCCATTCTATTCTTGTGGAACATTGTAAACGCGATAAAACACACTATCATGGCCGCATATATTATAAAACAATTATTCTCTAACGTCCAAACGGTCAACGATATTACATTCATGTTAAATTTTGCGGAACACGATTAAAAAAATAAAACACTAGCGCACACTAGCGACGCACGCGGCGAACTAAGTTTGTTTTGTTGTCATTTGTAATCGTAAATACATTTTTTATGTTGAGAGATAATTTTACAAGTTATATTAGACTTTATCGTAAGTCTATACGGTCTAGTTTTCAATGTGATTACACGTTCATGCATAGATTAATCTAGGTACGTAATTGCATTGGGAAACAATGACCTTGACTTTCATTTTTTTAAACACATTTTTTAGAATGAAGACGCCTAATAAAATTTTTCATACAATTAAACAATATTTTAAGTAACTAAATATACTTCTTTTTTTTTTTCAAATAATTTATTATTTACAAATATTAATAAAAAATAGGACTAAACTAATTTTTACGTCATCTTAGAGCGATTAATGTATATTTTTATTTAAATTGCATGTCAAACTTAACGAAAGTAACGTGAACCTAAAGGTGACGCCTTCGTCTATTCAAATTGTGACATATTTCACAAAGTAGAGCATCCAATCTGCATACAAACTGAATCCTACATATTGTAATACAATATGTGAAGAAATAGGTAACTCAAATGACACGGTGGATTTATTACGAAAGTGTATATGTGTAAGTGCAGTTTATTTTACAAAAAGTCCCTTCAGTGTTCGTTATCAAGGCCAAGAAGAAAAACATGTTTGCTATTTTTTAATTCTTTATTGAATGATGATCTATAAATTCTTTATTTAATGACTATCAATGGATTATACCATATTATTCCTATACTAATTTAAGACGGAATGAACCAATAGGCTACTATGGGATATGAGTTTAAAATCCATCTACCAATTGTAATAACAGTGGTATAGGTCTTTCATTTAATTCAAAATTTGACAGAACTTTGCTAAATTGAGTTAAATATAAGCGCCTGGTTAAAATAAATAGCAATTTTCAAATTCTCAAACTCCTAGTTGTAATTTATTATTACCTTGTAAAATCTATAAGTAAGTTAAAGGACTATCAGACACCTTGAGCAAACAATTTGACTTGTCTTTTAGAAGTCCTAGATAAGATATTACTACCAGTCGTTGAGTCCCTTCCTTCTGATTTGTCAATAATTCGCGAATTAGCAACTTTGCAGTTCAATCACTAAAGGATAAATATTTTCGCTTCTCAATAAAAAAAAAATAGGTGTAAAGGAAATAGAGAATCACAGTACGTCAAACATTATTGAAATATTCACTGATCTCTAAATATGGACAGGTGTTTGGAAATGACAGATTTTGCTAAGTTTCGACTTAAACCATACCTGATGATACTATTATAATATTTCTATTTATTGCTAATTCGAATCCTCACCATTACAACTGGCAGCAACAAAACGTCGAAAATGAGGCAAAAAGTACCGCGGCGTAACTGTTCATGTGGACGTCTTCGTTTATTTCTTGCTACATATTAATAAAAGTCGAATTGCTGCAAAGATGCAAGATGCATTATCTTCTTGAATAACTTGAAGTTTGAATGACAACTTGATATGTCATTTAATATTACTAATTTTATAAATGCGAAAGTTAAGATGTTTGTTAGAGTTTGTAAACTAAACTGCTAAACGGATGTCGATGAAATTTGTCATAAATGTAGAGGATTGTCTGGAAAAACATATAGGTTGCTTATTATTAATTCCATGCAGATGGATTCGCGTGCGAAAGCTAGTGTCATATAAAATATTTTTGCATACAATAAACGTTTTTTTTTTGCTTTTTTATTATTTGTTAACGTAGTTCTATGATAATTACACGTTGACACTCGTCGCAAATGTCGCCATGTTGTGACCTTATGTTAAAATCATCACCGTCAGAATTATTGAGAAAAACAATGACGGAAATTTTTTTTTTTTAATCCTTATAAATCCTGGTAAACAGTTTTACCGTTAAACAATTGTATACTAGTTATGTTTCTTGTTTTAACTATGATATGTATATGTTAAAGTTCAAGTTATTTGTTTTACAATAGAATACGCATTATTTTTTGCATAAAAAAACGAAAAGGAAACAGATTTCTTGTTTTGATAAACTCAACAATTCTATATAATCTGCGATATTGAATTTATACCAGTTATGTTACATTTTATAATCTCCAAATTTATTGGTTGAAGAGAGTAGCCCCAGTGGTTATGAAAATAAGGAGTAAAAGGTTAGCGTGGTATGGGCAATGTAACAAGAAGGTTGTTAGTTATGAATGTGGAGGTAAATCGGTAGAGGTAGACTTAGAAAGAGATGGATGGATTACGTGAAAGTTGACATGATCAAGAAGGTAGTGATGACTGAGATGACGGATGATAGAGTTATTTGGAGGACGTAAACCTGATGCACCGACCCTACTTCCTTGCAATTTCATATGCAAAAGAATGCGTGGCATATCCGCGCACTTACCTTGCTGTGGCACTGCACGTACATGCTCGCAGCTAACTACGAGATGTCATTATCTTTCAATCAAGTTATACTTTCACAAGCTTTCAAAAAAAACAAAAGTGAATACCCTATGTGTTCTTCCAGACTATCTTCTACATCTATACCAAATTTCATCGAGATCCGTTTAGCCGTTTAGGCTACAAACTCTAACAAACATCCATCGATCTATCTATACATCTAAACTTTCGCATTTATTTTATTTAATACGAGCTGTTGCCCGCGACTTCGTCTGCGTGGTATTAGAAAACATACAAACTATATAAATTACAAAAAGCTACGTATCCCTCGGGAACCGGGGATTTCTCGGGGATGAAGCTTATCCCATGTGTACTCCAGATTTTGTTTTATATCTGTGCCAAATTGCAATAAGATATGTTGAACCGTTGCAGAATGATCGAGTAAACATTAAAAAACTACAAAATAAAGATAATAAAAAAAAAACATTAAAAAACTAAATTAATGAATCCCACGGGAACCGTAACTATTCCAGGGATAAAAAGTAGCCTATGTGTTCTTCCCGACTATGCTCTAAACCTGTGCCAAATTTAATAGAGATCCGTTCAGCCGTTTAGGCTACAAACGCTAACAAACATCCATCCATCCATCCATCTAAACTTTCGCATTTATAATATTAGTAAGAAGTAAGATGATAGTATGATTAGAATTTCGCGGTTTCTGTCCGTTTTCTGTTTCTAGATTGATTTTATTTTACAAACAAATAGTGAATACATCAAAATGCGTGAAAGGTGACGTGATCAAGAAGGGAGTGATGACTGAGATGACGGATGATAGAGTGCTTTGGAGGACGAAAACCCGGTGCGCCGACCCTACGGGAGGTAGGGGGATAAGGCAGGGGAGATGATGACGATCAAATACAATTTTCTTATATGTTTTTATTATTTTAGAAACATTCAGTTTTGGTCTTACCTTTTCCTTAATTTATTTGCTTCACTGACCTCTAGATCTACGTGGTTTAATATTTGAAATACGATATCATTATGTTACCCATTTAGGTAGCATTATAGGTCATACGTAGCTCTGGCTTTGATACCTTGAAATATTTGGCAAGGATTTTAAAAGAAAAAAAAAATATTTTTTTGTGCATTTTGTTATCTCTGACACTTTTATGACTTATTTAGCAAACAATGGTGTAAAAATAATAAAAAAACTTACATTTTTATATCTATGCGAAATATTAATATTCATTTTTAATATAAGACAATTGTTAATAAGATTTGTTAAAAGAATTATAATCTTTAAAACAAAATAGTCCAGAAAAAAATACTTACAGATAAAAATATTAATAAAATAATTATTGAATCATTTATCAAAAAAAGTTAATATTACGTTGATAGATAATTAAAAATGTTCTGAAATGAATTTATAAAATGATTAAAACCAAAAGGTTAAATAAATAAATTACTTAAATAAACTAGTAGTCATATTTTACGAGTTATCAAGGTCGTGTACTATCGTTTATAATCTGTGGCCATATTCGTTAAATCAGATATACAACGGAATACACTATATTTAACGTAGGATAAACATATTTTATGAATACCAATAAATAAACGTAATTTATACAATACTAGCTGTTTCCGTGCGACTTCATTCGCATAAAATTAAGAATTTTTTTTTTACATGTGTCAAATTGACATGACATGAAGACAAACAATGACAACCTTTCTTGATATTGGCAGCAACTTATGGTCTCTTTCCCACATTAGGGTTTTTATCCAAAAATATTTACCCCTAAGTTTAATGACATGAAAGTATGTAGCCTCAAGCGTGACATAAGTGTAGGGCTTTTGAATAAAAGAAGAACTATTGAAAAATAAGCTCTAATTGCTGACATCTTAGGCAACAAAGAAGTATGTGTTTACGCTTTATTATAATAGTATAGATTTCATGAGCAATCTATAATTTTTATTTTAACAAGAAGGTAATATTTATTTCGTATGTAAATTCCTTTGTACCTAGCCATAAAACATGAAGCGATTATGATCACTGATGTGTCATTTGATTTTTTTCTCCAGAGTGTCATAATATTACATAGCCATATATAGGTAACGGAGTTTAAAATCTTAAAAATAGGTTATTGGCACTCGCTATTAGATTGTTTCATTGCTCATTAAATAAGCGAATGAAGGATGTCACTGTGTTTTGTTTCAGTAGTCGAAGTCATTTCTTGTCACTGTTTTTGTCACACTTACGCATGTAGAGACCATTAGTATTAGTTAATAAGTACAGCCTTCTAATACATTAACAAGTTTAAGGTCAACAGAAAAAAAAACAGCAAAAACCTTGGCGATATTATGTTAATATTGCGACGGATGCAAGCGATACGTAGCCAACACTGTTGCGAAGTGATTTATCCGAACGAATATAAAAGGATTTCTTAAAATTTTTGGAGAACAAGCGCTTTAAGGTCGAATCTTCAATGTTCGAATGCAGTCAAAAGTTTCGGAGAATCCCGCTGAGGTTTCAGTACCTAAAGCACTTTGGATACTAATCTACATGTCATTACATGTCATGCTCGTATTGAAAATAGGAGATCAAACATTCGTATTTATAACATTAGTATGA